AAATAATAATAATAGTAGTAATAATAGTAATAATAATAATAATAATTAATAATAATAATAATAATAATAATAATAATAATAATAATAATAATAATAATAATAATAATAATAATAATAATAATAATAATAATAATAATAATAATAATAAGTAGTAATAATAATAATAGTAATAACAATAATAATATTATTATTATTTTTAATGCATAATATAAAATGCAAGTACACTGTATTGACAAATAACAGACAGAACTTGAATCCTTTAAGTAATGAAACCCTTTACTACTAAAATATGTTTAAAAAAAATCATAAAATCTAAAAATTTTTTTTGTAGAATAACGGATATTTTTCTTGCAATAAGTTTTGAGGATAATTCATTCCTACAAAAAAAAGTAACAAGTTGTGATAAATGTAAACCTCGTCTGAAGAAGACAGAACGATAAGCGGAAATGCCATCATCCGGATCGTAACCAGTATTTGTTTTCCGTTCCACTTCAGGTATAAAATCAGCCAATTTACCAGGCTTTGGCTTGTCATGCAATGATGTAACACGATAATCTGGATCACTTCCTCCACCGGTAACTGAACATGATGTACTACTAGCCAATGATGTACGACTAGAAAAACGTTCACGTGAATGTCGCATTGCATATTTTCCGCCTGCATACGCCATTCGTGGATCATCATCATCCAGCGTTGAAATTGATGATAAAACTGAATTGCTACGCGTAACAATTCCATCTTTCATATTATGTGCAACAGCAGCAACCGGACCAGATGCAGCTAAAGGGAAAATGCAATGTATTCGGAAGATTACTACAAAACAACTTCATCTCAATCTCTTGAAAAGCTGAAATCTGAACTGATAGTCAAGCTATCTGCTACGAATATTTCATTTTTCTATCTAAAAATTACGCTTTTTCATTTTCACATTAATACTTGGATGAAACTATTAAAATTGAAATACAATGTAAGCGCTTAAATTTAGCACAAAATAATTCGCCGTAAAAACTTTTTTGTTTTTTTTGCCAATTTGATCTCTAAAATTTAATTCATATTTAACCAATACCTATTTAATATCTCTATTCTTTGATTCTATTAATGCTCAAGGAAGCATATATGAATGATAAGAATTTACTTGTAGCTTTCAGAAATTTACCATTTTCTGATTGTTTGCTGATATTTCCGGTTGACCATTTACGTGTTGGAGAAGAATGCTTTTGTTTTCGAATTCCTTTACAATTACTATTCTTAACAGTACATTTATCATCAAATAATGCTCGCTTCTGATCAAATGAAATTGTTGATCGTTGGTCGTTAGATAGCAAAGGATTTTCCATCGATGATATTCGTGGACCTAAAAAATGGAGAAAAACAAAACTGCAAACAGAAATGAAGTGATTTATTTCGAAATATTGTTAATTCGTGTGGGCGAAAATTTACTTACATAGAAAATGCAACCGTTAATTAATTAATTAGCTAATGTTTTCAAATTTCCATCATAATTGCACTGATCAAACCATACAACTTCTTTTTTTCGATGGTTAGCAGTACCGATTGGTTAACTGTTCTTACGCGATTGATATTTGATGCAAATGAAATCGCTTGATTACCTGATATTATACTTAAGAAAAAATTTTGCTATTTCAAAGCTTTTTTTTTTTGCATTTCAAATGGATATTTTAAAATCAATACCAATAACAGCGTTATCAGATCGTCGAATTCTCAATTCAATATCACCAACACGTTCTGCTTCATGCAACATCCTCACGATACACTGATAATATCTATCCACTACTGTTTCACCATTTATGCTTAATAGTAAATCACCAACCTAAATATTACTTTATTAGATTTTATCAATTTTTTCCCAACTTTTAGTTTAAACATGTTCCAGTTCAATTCAAATTTCATTTCTAATCATTATTATATTTGATGATTGCAAAAATGATATAATTAGTACAGGTCTTCTTGCAAAAAGAATTCATATTACATTGTTATTCAATAAATTGCTCCATTTAATTTAATTAGTCTATAAATTGTTATTAGCAAAAACAGTAAAATATGCTTTTTAACTTATCAAAATATTTAAAAATATGCTTCGTAACACTTCAACAGTAATCAATTTTTAAGCATTAAAAAAGATGGAAATATCATGGCTGAATTGTTATAACTAGATTAATAAATTTAAGTATTTAAAAAAAAGGAAAAAAGAATGTAAAACCTGTAGTCCAACTTGATCAGCAGGTGTTCCTACAATAACAGCATCAATTTTTACAGGTGCATTTTTATCTTTACCACCGGTGATTGTAAAACCAAAATGTTTCCGTTCATCATTTCCATTTTCATTGCTCAAACTGATCTTCACATTAATTATTTCACCAATATCATTTTGTGAACCCTAAAAAATGCATAGGATAAAATGAAATTGTTAGTTCGAAGTTTTAGGTTTTCTTTTTTCTTTTTATGCATTAATTGGCCATCTAAAGCAAACATATTAATTTTATCAATTTATTTTAATATACCAATTCCATTTTTTATTGCTCAAACAATTTCTACTCTAATATTTGCTCCTTTTAATCATTCTCAAATATTAGTTTCTGAATTTTAATCTAAAATTTCCACAATAAATCAATCTCAAAAGCACTAAAACTTTATTAAATTTGCAAATCACAATTTTCTTCAGTTCTGTTATTATCCCAACATGAGTGCGAAAAAAAATTCGATATTGTATTTAAAACATTTAGGAGTTTTGAAATTTCGACCAAAAATCCAAATTAAAAACCATTTTCGTATTGTTTTTATCGATATTGCCTGGCTGATAAGCGGCACTTGGTTTATCTTCAAATTGAATATCAACAGCTTTTAGATTTGATTTTGGCACTGTTATCTGAAGAAGTAAAAATTAAAAATAAAAAGAAGCATATCGATCATATTACTTTTTCTTGCATAAACAATCAAGAATATTAGAAGAAAAAAAAAGCACTAAACAATGTACTAAAGATATTTCTCAACTAATTCTAACTTCTTTTTTTTTTCTAATCATATAAAGATGAAAGATGTGGAAATCTACGTGATAAAAAATGTACTTATATTATATGAGAAAATGAATTTGAAAGAAAAAACCAATATATAGAAGGAAATAAATAAAAATGAAAATGAAAATAATGACAGCAAAGAAGAATTTTTCAATATGGTGGTTTAAAAAAAAAGATATGGTACAAATTTGGATTGAAATAAAACTGCTAGCAGAGAATTGAACAAGGGAAAGGATAGATTTCAAGTATGAATCACTTTTTTTTTCTTTGTATGTAAAAATTAAATTTATACATGAAGTATTTCATTATGGAAAAGCGCATTTGAGAAAACTAAATGTGACATTTTGCTAAGAATTTTGCAAAAATTTCGATTATCAGTCATTAACATATCAATACATACCTTTATTTTACTGCTCAAATTATGCAAATAGAACAGTGGAAGGATGATCACCAAAAAAAACAAAATTGTAAAACAAATTGGAAAACTCAAGCAATTTCAAAAAACAATATTAGTCCATTATCACAATTTAAGCAGTAAAATGTGTGATGAAACAACAACTCAATTAAATAATCAGTAGTGATTATGCACAAGTGACCGGTAAAAGCTTATAATAAGTGAACAGGTATTGATAATTAATAATTAACATTTAAATAAATAGTTCGTATAATCTCCTAATTTGGTCACATATAATGCAGATAATATATAAATACTGTAATAGACACTATGCAAGTACGATAGCAATTTTTTCCTCACCTCATGAATTTCATTCGTCAGACGACTAGTTCTTGAAAATTTTGGTGATGTACGTGGATAGATTCCATCAATGGTTCCTACAAGATGTCCTCTAGCTTGAATTGATGAGAGTGTTGTTGATGTATACGGTAAAAATGGTGAGGTAACCTGTAAATGATGTAAAACGACAAAGATAATTGTCGAATTTTAGTAATTCTCGCATGAAACTGGCATTCAACAATTGTTAATATATAAATAAATATTCAACCACATATATATGATATTAAAAAAATTGAAAATAGAAAAGTAAAGAAAAAAGGAAAGGCAAACTTGTTTTGGTTTATTAGTATTATCGACCTCATTTTCAGCATTATTATCAGTTGTTTCAATCATTGCTTTATTATAGTTATGGCATGAGAAATTAGTTTGCCGAGGTGTTGGAAATTTAGCAGATGTGATATTTGCTGATTGTTCATGACATAATTCGATACCAAGTGAAACTGAAAAATCTATCAGTTATTTCGAACAGCTGATAAAAAAATGAGCATAGCATCTATCTATCATTACTTGTAAACACGTTATGCAAACACTGAATATAAGTGGAAACTGAAAAATTTATCAGTCATTTTGAATGTGTTTACAGCTAATAAAAGAGTCAACGTTTAAATCAAAAATACATTTCACATTCTTCCTTTTCAGTTTTGCAAACTTCAGCTTGATTATCAAATAATTTATACCTCAAAACTTTCAATAAAAAAATTATATTACCACCCTCAGTTGCAGTTACTGATGTATTACGTTTTCCCGTTGAAGTTGATAATGGATCACATTTTGTTGTTGATAAACAATTACTTGAAGAATTGCTTTTCTACAAAAATTATTATTTCTTTGAAAATTATTGCAAATTAACTTATTAGAAAAAAAGAAGTTAAACTATTAAACATATCTAAATGTATCTATCGTAATGGAAAATATACAAATATACATTTATCAAAACAAACCATATTGCTATATTTACTTCGACCATGTAAAATGTTTGCTGATATTATTGGCTGTTGTTTTAGTACCGTTGTCGGTAGAAGATAATCTGGTGGAGCTGGAAAATCACTATCGGAATCGGTATGTTCACTAAGATATTCCTGTGAATTACCAGCTTGCGGTGTTACACTACGTGATTGATTCTAAAACGGAATAGTTTTAGACTTAATATGACAAATTCTAATAGAATAATTCAATTTCTTTAGTTTCAAATTTTCAAAATTCCCAAAATCCACAATTTTAATCAAATGAAGTTCCATTTTTAAGCTTAGGAATATCATTGGAAATCAAAAAAAGAATCTCACAAAATATCACTTTATTCTCTGCTAAGATTAAATTCACCTACTTAAAAATAAAACCCTTTAATTTATTTTTGACTTAATTAACGATTAAATAATATGTGAATAAAAATAATATGTGATTCAATAATTAGTAGCAAAAAAATTCCACATACACATGAAAAAGTTTAAATAAATGAATGAAAATTGAAACTTTTAAAAGATTATGCAAATTTACGCAATCGATTACTTTAAACCGAAGAAGTTAAAATGTGAAAAGACTTGACTAAAGTAATACAAACATTTAATTTAAAATGAAGGAGTTAAATGTGGACAGATTTTGGAAATTAGAGAGTTAATTTTTCCTGAAACATTTTTAAATTTTTGAATAAAAGAACGAGAAAGAGCAAACCTAACCATAATTTGTTCCTTTCATGTATGTGTTTAATTTAAAACAAAAACAAAATTTTCATTTCTCATGTAAAATAATTAGTAAAATGTGATGAAAGGAAAAAAAAAGACAAAAAAAAAATTGAATCGAATACAATTAATTAACCACCAATCATTAATCATGATATATTAATGATGAAATTGTAAACAAGTTTATCGTTAATGCTACCATAATTACTGTTTTTTTTTGGCTCCATTATATTATTAAGATTAAATAAACAGGTAAAAGGTAGAAACAAAATATAATGAATGTTTTGATTGAAAATGACATTTAAAAAATTTTTCTCATTCACCAAAATTGCCAGATAACAGGAGGAGAAATGATCAGATGAGCTTATGAGAGTAATAATTTCAGTGAAATTATTAGAAAACTTAAAAATGTTTGTTGCTGTCACTATCCGAATTATTTAATTTCCAAGGACAAATCAACAGCTAAAAATTTTCAGAAAAAAGTTTCGTCTGTCTGTTTTTTCTTTTATTTAATTCCTTTTTGTTTGAACTATACTTTGTTGTTAAATAGATGTTTAATATTTACTAGATATTCAAAAAATC